AAAGAGTGTGAGACTGGGCGGGGGGAGAGAGTGAATGAGGCTGGGTAAGGGGAGAGTGAGGCTTTGTGAGGGAGAGTGAGATTGGGTGAGGGGAGAGTGAGGCTGGTGTAGGGGAGAGTGAGACTTGGTGAGGGGAGAGTGGAGATGGGTGAGGGGAGAGTGAGGCTGGGTGAGGGGAGAGTGAGCTGGGTGAGGGGAGAGTGAGGCTGGGTGAGGGGGAGAGGAGACTGGGTGAAGGGAGAGTGAGGCTGGGTGAGGGAAGAGTGAGACTGGGTGAGGGAAGAGGACTGGGTGAAGGGAGAGTGAGGCTGGGTGAGGGGAGAGTGAGCTGGGTGAGGGGAGAGTGAGGCTGGGTGAGGGAAGAGTGAGACTGGTGAGGGAAGAGACTGGGTGAGGGAGAGTGAGGCTGGGAGGGGAAGAGTGAGACTGGGTGAGGGGAGAGTGAGGCTGGGTAGGGAGAGTGAGGCTAGGTGAGAGGAGAGTGAGGCTGGGTGAGAGGAGAGTGAGGCTGGGTGAGGGGAGAGTGAGACTGGGTGAGGGGAAGAGTGAGACTGGGTGAGGGGAGAGTGAGGCTGGGTAAAGGGAGAGTGAGGCTGGGTGAGAGGGAGAGTGAGGCTGGGTGAACGGAGAGTGAGGCTGGGTGAGGGGAGAGTGAGACTGGGTGAGGGAAGAGTAAGACTGGGTGAGGGGAGAGTTGAGGCTGGGTAAAGGGAGAATGAGGCTGGGTGAGAGGAGAGTGAGACTGCGTGAGGGAGAGTGAGGCTGGGTAAAGGGAGAGTGAGACTGGGTGAGGAGGAGAGTGAGGCTGGGTGAGGGGAGAGTGAAGGCTGGGTAAAGGGAGAGTGAGGCTGGGTGAGAGGAGAGTGAGGCTGGGTGAGGGAGAGTGAGGCTGGGTGAGAGGAGAGTGAGGCTGGGTGAGGGGAGAGTGAGGTGGGTAAAGGGAGAGTGAGACTGGGTGAGGTGGAGGGAGAGTGAGGCTGGGTGAGGGGAGAATGAGCTGGGTGAGGGGAGAGTGAGGCTGGGTGAGGGGAGAGTTAGGCTGGGTGAGAGGAGAGTGAGGCTGGGTGAGGGGAGAGTGAGGCTGGTAAGAGGAGAGTGAGACTGGGTGAGGGGAGAGTGAGGCTGGGTGAGGGGAGAGTGAGGCTGGGTGAGGGGAGAGTGAGGCTGGGTAAAGGGAGAGTGAGACTGGGTGAGGGGGAGAGTGAGGCTGGGTGAGGGAGAGTGAGGCTGGGTGAGGGGAGAGTGAGGCTGGGTGAAAGGAGAGTGAGGCTGGGTGAGGGGAGAGTGAGGCTGGGTAAAGGGAGAGTGAGACTGGGTGAGGGTAGAATGAGGCTGGGTGAGGTGAGAGTGAGGGGGAGAGTGAGGCTGGGTAAAGGGAGAGTGAGGACTGGGTGAGGGGAGAGTGAGGCTGGGTGAGAGGAGAGTGAGGCTGGGTGAGGGGAGAGTGAGGCTGGGTAAAGGGGAGAGTGAGATTGGGTGAGGGGAGAGTGAGGCTGGGTGAGGGGAGAGTGAGGCTGGGTGAGGGGAGAGTGAGGCTGGGTGAGAGGAGAGTGAGGCTGGGTGAGGGGAGAGTGAGGCTGGGTAAAGGGAGAGTGAGACTGGGTGAGGGGAGAGTGAGGCTGGGTGAGGGGAGAGTGAGGCTGGGTGAGGGGAGAGTGAGGCTGGGTGAGGGGAGAGAGTGAGGCTGGGTAAAGGGAGAGTGAGACTGGGTGAGGGGAGAGTGAGGCTGGGGTGAGGGGAGAGTGAGGCTGGGTGAGGGAAGAGTGAGGCTGGGTGAGAGGAGAGTGAGGCTGGGTGAGGGGAGAGTGAGGCTGGGTAAAGGGAGAGTGAGGACTGGGTGAGGGGAGAGTGAGGCTGGGTGAGAGGAGAGTGAGGCTGGGTGAGGGGAGAGTGAGGCTGGGTGAGGGGAGAGGTGAGCTGGGTGAGGGGAGAGTGAGGCTGGGTGAGGGGAGAGTGAGGCTGGGTAAAGGGAGAGTGAGACTGGGTGAGGGGAGAGTGAGGCTGGGTGAGAGGAGAGTGAGGCTGGGTGAGGGGGAGAGTGAATCTGGGTAAAGGGGAGAGTGAGAGCTGGGTGAGGGGAGACTGTCAGGCAGGTGGTGCAAGAGGGAGAGCTTCTTGGGAACCAGAATTAAGAAAATGTTATTGACAATTTTAGACAAATCCTGCAGGCAGGCCATTAGCAGGTCTTGCTAATGTGTGTGTGTGTGTGTGTGTGTGTGTGTGTGTGTGTGTGTGTGGTGTGTGTGTGTGTGTGTGTGTGTGTGTGTGTGTGTGTGTGTGTACTCACCTAGTTGTGGTTGCCGGGGTCGATTCACAGCTCATGGCCCCGCCTCTACACTGGCCGCTACTAGGTCACTCTTCCTACTCCATGAGCTTTATCATACCTCTTCTTGAAGCTATGTATGGATCCTGCCTCCACTACATCACTTCCCAGACTATTCCACTTCCTGACAACTCTGTGACTGAAGAAATACTTCCTAATATCCTTGTGATTCATCTGAGTCTTCAACTTCCAACTGTGACCCCTTGTTGCTGTGCCTCAACTCTGGAACATCCTGTCTCTGTCCAAGTTGTCGATTCCTCTCAGCATTTTATATGTCGTTATTATATCCCCCCCTATCGCTCCTGTCATCCAGTGTCGTCAGGTCGATTTCCCTTAACCTCTCCTCGTAGGACACGCCCCTTAGCTCCGGGACTAGTCCTGTTGCAAATCCTTGCACTGTCTCTAGTTTCCTACGTGTTTGGCTAAGTGTGGGTTCCAAACTGGTGCTGCATACTCCAATATAGGCGTAACGTACTCGGTGTACAGGGTCCTGAACGATTCTTCATTGAGATGTCGGAATGCTGGTTTTAGGTTTGCTAGTCGCCCGTATGCTGCAGCAGTTATTTGGTTGATGTGCGTCTCAGAAGATGTGCCCTGTGTTATAACTCACCCTGAGATCCTTTTCCTTGAGTAAGGTTTGTAGTCTCTGGCCCCCTGGACTGTACTTCCGTCTGCGGTCTTCTTTGCCCTTCCCCAATCTTCATGAAGGCAGAGGTCTGAGCATCGGTCAGACCTCTGCAACACAATTGTCCTCAAACGTTTCTTAAGTTATACCATGAATTAAGGAAAGATCCTGGACTTCACCTTACGAAACAGACAAAGCAAATGTGATAGTAATTACGGACAAGGTAGATTATAGTGAAAAAATGAACATGTTATTAGAGACAGGGATACTTACGTGCCCTTTAGCACTACTAAGTTATCTACGGCCAGTCAGACTTCCAGTCTCTGGTCGGGTTTTGTGATTCACCGTTATCTTTAAGACGAATATTATCAAGGTACCCCACATGACCCAATTCGGAGACAGCCAGAAGACAGCTATTATCCCCCAGGACTGGCAATCATCGGCAGCTTCACTCTATGATCATTCATTTTGACTAACTAGCATTCATTTAGAATATGTTCTCATAACAGATATACAATGGAGCGAGCACGAGAAGACGAACGAGAGAGGGTAAAATATGAAGAAAATGAGAGACAACGAAGAGGACAAGGTAATAGGGGAGTAAAGTATACTGGAAGAAGCCGGAGGAGTAGGATTAGACAGAGAGGAGGAGCGTGGGAGGTATTGAATTAGGGGTAGGGATAAGGAGAAAGAATGAATAGCAAAATGAAGGGGTAAATTAGGTGTGTAGGCGAGGAATAAGTAGGAAAGGGAAGGAAGATAGTAGTTCTTAGTTATGGTTCGTTAATTAAGTCTGGTGATGACTCGTCAGCAAGACATGAATCGGCTGTTCTGGTACATTTCCAGTCACACGGGATTCACCGCCTCTTCAAACACCCACGTGAACCCTTCAAAGCCCCAAATCTTGTTTATCAAAAAATGCTCCACATTTATGCGCTAAAATGTAGAAGGTTCACCAAGCGGTAAGATGAAGACAGGTAAAATATTGGAGTCTTAAATGGAGCGTCAGCAGCCACTGGCATCAGAGGCGCCTTTGTCGATCTTTATTTGACTGAAATGCTTTTAAATGCAATTCTTACAGTCGAATGCGTTCCCGGGACATTTGCAGGAGCGAAGGAGTTTGTCATGCCCCTGGGGCCAAAGGACGAGTGTGGTAGGAGAGGAAATGTTCAGGATATGGAAACTGAGGAAGGATGACAGGGGGCAAAAGAAGAAGACAGCGGAGGTAGTTAAGGACGGTCGGAAATGGGCGATTGGATCCGCTTCTTTCTGCTCGGAGAGGATTGGGGAGGATTATGGGAAACTTTATTTTCTTCTCTGCAACTCAAATACAACGCTGTAGCTTTTTTTAAATAGTAACATTCTTTTTGTCATTATGAAGCCGAAACCGGAAGATACGACAAGTGAATTTCTTGAGTTGACTTTTGAGAAGGTAATGTGTTTAGATAAGCTTAAAAACAAACTCAAATACACTTATTACTGTGCTCAGCTGACAATGATGGCTAGGAAACCCTTGCCAGCAAGTCTCTGATCAAAAAAGACGTAATGCTACTGATGCCAATATTAAGACAATGTTATGAACACTCATGTCATTCACCACACCTATCAGTCTGTCACTCCACCAATGCTGGAAAAACTGCCGTCACGAACCTAACACTACACCTGTCCCTACACCAGTACTGAAAGTGCTGTCTCATACTCAACACTCCACGCCTGTCATTTCTCCAATTTGAACAAGTGCTGTCCCACAAGCCAACACGCTACACCTGTCCTAAAACCAGTGATGGAACAAGACACTGATGATCATAATAGTGGTTAAATAAACCTTCAGTTGTACTAGCATAATATCTGGGTATACTAACATTAGGTTTCCTTGCATCTTCAGCTCCTGCCGCACCACCAGCGACTGTCTCCTGTACCTGAAGCTTGTCTCAGTCGTGTAGTCATAGTCATTCTTCCTTTGTTGACTCCATAACATGTTGCCTGGTGTTGGGCGGGCGGGCGTGTGTGGGCGGAGAGCGCGTGGGCCTATCTGACTTAGTATCCTTGCAGGAGGTACGGGCGTGAACCAGATGGGCGGAGTGTACGTCAACGGGCGCCCGCTGCCAGACCACATCCGCCACAAGATTGTCGAAATGGCCCACTCAGGCGTGCGCTCCTGCGACATCTCCCGCATACTTCAAGTGTCCAATGGCTGTGTATCCAAGATCCTTGCTAGGTGAGTGTACGCGGGCCGCTGTCCTCCTAACCCCGAGCTCTCTGGTGTCCCTTGCAGGCCACAGCGGGATAAACCAGCTGGGGGGCGTCTATGTGAACGGCCGCCCCCTGCCGGACTCCACGCGTCAGAAGATCGTAGAGCTGGCCCACTCTGGCGCCAGGCCATGCGACATCTCCCGCATTCTTCAGGTGTCCAATGGCTGCGTCTCCAAGATCCTGGCCAGGTACGCCCGCTAGGGGTCCTGCGAAGGCTTCTGATATGTCACCTAGGAGGATCTTGCCTACTGTTAAGCCATACTAAGAAACGTCTGCTGCTCACATACTAACTTACATGTTTACCAGTTTCATTTTCCAAAATTAAATCTCTAAAGAGTTAATGCATGGCACTATTCAGTAAATAGTTATATCAGAGCCTTTTAGCGCTAGAGGACACCTACAGCATCCGAAGGTGGCTTTCTAACAGGTTCCTCTCTCTCCCTGGCAGGTACTACGAGACAGGCTCCATCAAGCCCCGAGCCATTGGAGGTTCAAAGCCCAGAGTAGCTACACCTCACGTGGTCAACAAAATCGCCGACTACAAGCGGGAGTGCCCGTCTATCTTCGCTTGGGAGATCCGTGACCGACTACTCTCAGAATGCGTGTGCACCAACGATAACATTCCTAGTGTAAGTACCTCTCTTACCTTGATTTTACTAGCAATAAAGCGCTAACCCCATATGGGAAACATTCAGTGCAAGGATAGGTGCAGTCTCTAGCCTACGCCCACTAATCGCAAGACACGTTACTAATCATTCAAAGTAGCGCACTTCTTGGAGAGTCTCACCTGTCACAAGTGTTGTGTGAGTTACAGTGAGAGAACCAGCAAGTGTTACTCACAACAACTATCACAAGTGTTGTGTGAGTTACAGTGAGCCAGACAACAAGTGTTACTCACAACAACTGTCACAAGTGTTGTGTGAGTTACAGTGAGCCAGCCAGCAAGTGTTACTCACAACAACTGTCACAAGTGTTGTGAGAGTTACAGTGAGCCAGACAACAAGTGTTACTCACAACAACTGTCACAAGTGTTGTGTGAGTTACAGTGAGCCAGCCAGCAAGTGTTACTCACAACAACTGTCACAAGTGTTGTGTGAGTTACAGTGAGCCAGCCAGCAAGTGTTACTCACAACAACTGTCACAAGTGTTGTGTGAGTTACAGTGAGCCAGCCAGCAAGTGTTACTCACAACAACTGTCACAAGTGTTGTGTGAGTTACAGTGAGCCAGCCAGCAAGTGTTACTCACAACAACTGTCACAAGTGTTGTGTGAGTTACAGTGAGCCAGCCAGCAAGTGCTACTCACAACAACTGTCACAAGTGTGAGGGAAAAGTTCAACAGATCGGAGTAGCGAGCGAGTATATGGTGACGATAGTTTGATTGCCAGTCTGCTTGTTAAGGTAGGGTCAGTGTCTAGCTCCCGCTCTCCCCCCCCCCTTTTTTCCATCCGTAAAGGTGACGTGTGGAGCTCCAACCAAATGGATAATCACTTGACTCACAGCTCCCAGCACAACTCTTGGAATGTCAGCTTGGGTCATCTGGCATCCACAGACACAGTGCTGAAGGAGACGAACTTCACATAAGTTCTGAGACGTCACCTTTTTATCTACATACCTGAGTGTAGCCAACCCCAGGCAACTACCCATCATCTTTGCAGTGGTGAAGGACCTGCGTTCCTGTCATCTTGACGGATTATTCAAGGTCAGAGACTCTGTGACGAACTAGTCGTTGGGCTGTCACTCAACAGCTGTGACTCCCCCCCCCCATCATCAGCAACGGCTACAATTTCTACAAGGCGCGGTGTCAACATCAACCAGACACCCCAATCTAACTGTACATATTAGCATTGAATTCAAATATTATTTTTTATATTTCATTTTTCATTTCTCTTTCACGTAGGATAAAATATCATATTTAAATGTTTTATATTTTCAATTATAACAATAAAGTGTTTATATTTGTGTTATTATTCTTTTTCTATTCATTAATTTTCCTAAGGAGGAGCCAGCCTTGGTAATACCTACTTAAGATCTTACAGGGTTGAGTAAATCTTCACATAAGTGTTGTGTAAGTTACAGTGAGCCAGCCAGCAAGTGTTACTCACAACAACTGTCACAAGTGTTGTGTGAGTTACAGTGAGCCAGCCAGCAAGTGTTACTCACAACAACTGTCACAAGTGTTGTGAGAGTTACAGTGAGCCAGCCAGCAAGTGTTACTCACAACAACTGTCACAAGTGTTGTGTGAGTTACAGTGAGCCAGCCAGCAAGTGTTACTCACAACAACTGTCACAAGTGTTGTGTGAGTTACAGTGAGCCAGCCAGCAAGTGTTACTCACAACAACTGTCACAAGTGTTGTGTGAGTTACAGTGAGCCAGCCAGCAAGTGTTACTCACAACAACTGTCACAAGTGTTGTGAGAGTTACAGTGAGCCAGCCAGCAAGTGTTACTCACAACAACTGTCACAAGTGTTGTGTGAGTTACAGTGAGCCAGCCAGCAAGTGTTACTCACAACAACTGTCACAAGTGTTGTGTGAGTTACAGTGAGCCAGCCAGCAAGTGTTACTCACAACAACTGTCACAAGTGTTGTGAGAGTTACAGTGAGCCAGCCAGCAAGTGTTACTCACAACAACTGTCACAAGTGTTGTGAGAGTTACAGTGAGCCAGCCAGCAAGTGTTACTCACAACAACTATCACAAGTGTTGTGAGAGTTACAGTGAGCCAGCCAGCAAGTGTTACTCACAACAACTATCACAAGTGTTGTGAGAGTTACAGTGAGCCAGCCAGCAAGTGCTACTCACAACAACTATCACAAGTGTTGTGTGAGTTACAGTGAGCCAGCCAGCAAGTGCTACTCACAACAACTATCACAAGTGTTGTGAGAGTTACAGTGAGCCAGCCAGCAAGTGTTACTCACAACAACTGTCACAAGTGTTGTGAGAGTTACAGTGAGCCAGCCAGCAAGTGTTACTCACAACAACTGTCACAAGTGTTGTGAGAGTTACAGTGAGCCAGCCAGCAAGTGCTACTCACAACAATGTATCGTCGGAGCTTCTCACACAAGATTCTACTCATATTTTGTTGCTTCAATAAACCAACATTTAGAAAGATAAATAAATAAACAAACGCTGCTTGATAACTCTGAGTGCTTCTTAAAACTGAGATCAGATATTCCACAGAGTTACTGGACTATTACCCCAACACAGGTGTTTAACACCTCACCGAGAACATCAAATATCTGTCTCTCCCGATACTGGCTAGTTGGGGTACACTATTAGTAGTAGTATTAATACACTCATGGGGGAAGCGCTAAACCAATAAGGATCATACAGCGCCTGGGGAATGGGAGTTAATGGGGTCTGTACCTAAAAAGGGGAGGGTAGCCTCAAATTCCTAGAATCTAGAGCATCAAAGCTTCCCCCCCCTTTTGAAGTGTTTCTACCTGTCACAAAATGCTTAACATAACTATTAAGACAACCACAGAAATATATTTGTCGTGCCGAATAGGTAAAATGGGTCAATTATCAAGAACTCATTTAAAGTTAAGTCATTTGTAAAATTTTCTCTTATACGTTTAAAGATATATTTTTTTCTTTTATGTTAATGTAAAAATTATTAATTTTGTACCAAAAGTACCTTAGAAAACTTACCTAACCTTATTTTAACAAGCGCAATTTAATTTAGCATAATCGAACTAAATATATTTTAGATAAGTTTACCATAATTTAATAATACACAAACATAATGAAATATATTTTTTTTCGTTAGGTTCAGAATGATTTTTGCGAAATTATGGCATACAAATTTTCGCTTGCCTTATTCGGCAACAAGAGCGTTGCTATTTAAGCCAAAATCGCAAGTTTTACCTATTCGGCAAGACATTATATATATATATATATATATATATATATATATATTATATATATATATATATATATATATATTTATATATATATATATATATATATATATATATATTATATATATATATATATTATATATATATATATATATATATATATTCCAGGAAACCCGACGTCAGGAATTGTATTTTCTCTTTCCCAACATCCTACTCAGCTCTCCCAGCACCCTAATCAGCTCTTTTCCCACACCTTATTCAGCTCCCTTTCCAGCACCCTACTCAGCTCTTTCCAACGACCTACCGAGCTCTTTCCCAACACCCTAATCAGCTCTTTCTCAACACCCTACTTAGCTCTCTCTCTTTCCCAGCACCGTACTCAGCTCTCTTTCCCAACACCCTACTCAGCTCTTTCCCAACACCCTACTCAGGTCTCCCAGCACCCTACTCAGCTCTCTCTCTTTCCTAGCACCCTACTCAGGAGAACCTGCCACTCCTGATCTGTCTTCTACTCCTGAGTCACTGGTAAGCACGACAAACCTATGTATTGCTTGTGCTAGCTTCGAGTGTTATCGACATTAAGGCTGAGAGTCACCTGCCTACTGACATCAAGAATGAGTTATTCCATAAAACAGTGGTTCACCTCTCAGTGTATACACAATAACAGGAATACACCTTGCTGTGTAAATACCTGGTGGGTGTACTGAGAAAGGTGGGAGGTCTTCGTGCAGCTGGACGTGTGCTCAACCTGTGTGAACAATAACAAGTAGCTGTATCCTTGATGTATACACTGTCACGTTGATGTATACACTGTCACGTTGATGTATACACTGTCACGTTGATGTATACACTGTCACGTTGATGTATACACTGTCACGTTGATGTATACACTGTCACGTTGATGTATACACTGTCACGTTGATGTATACACTGTCACGTTGATGTATACACTGTCACGTTGATGTATACACTGTCACGTTGATGTACACACTGTCAGGTTGATGTACACACTGTCTCGTTGATGTACACACTGTCTCGTTAAGGTACACATTGTCTCGTTGATGTATACACTGTCTCGTTGATGTACACACTGTCTCGTTGATGTACACATTGTCTCGTTGATGTATACACTGTCTCGTTGATGTACACACTGTCTCGTTGATGTACACACTGTCTCGTTAAGGTACACATTGTCTCGTTGATGTATACACTGTCTCGTTGATGTACACACTTGTGATTCACTTGTTCGTTGATGTATACACTGTCTTAGTAACATTGTCTGTTGATGTATACACTGTCACGTTGATGTATACACTGTCACGTTGATGTATACACTGTCACGTTGATGTATACACTGTCACGTTGATGTATACACTGTCCGTTGATGTTACACGTCCGTTAAGTAACACTTGTCTCGTTGATGTATACACTGTCTCGTTGATGTACACACTGTCTCGTTGATGTACACAGTCTCGTTAAGGTACACATTGTCTCGTTGATGTATACACTGTCTCGTTGATGTACACACTGTCTCGTTGATGTACACACTGTCTCGTTAAGGTACACATTGTCTCGTTGATGTATACACTGTCTCGTTGATGTACACACTGTCTCGTTGATGTACACAGTCTCGTTAAGGTACACATTGTCGTTGAGTATACACTGTCGTGTTGATGTACACACTGTCTCGTTGATGTACACAGTCTCGTTAAGTACCACTTATTTCGTCGCGTTGATGTATAACACTGTCTCGTTGATGTACACACTGTCTC